TATAAAATACATGAAATATGTTCTCTTTATATTAATAATTTGAAAATTAAATTATATTTAGACCAAGGTATATCTTAAGCTTAAACATATTTTCTTTTATTTATTTATTTATTTATTTGAAAGTCAGAGTTACAGATAGGGAGAGAGATCATCCACCTGCTGTTTTACTCTGCAGATGGCTATAGTAGCCAGGGTTGGGCCAGGCCAAAGCCAGGAGCCAAGAACTTCATCCAGGTCTCCCACTTGGGTGTCAGTGGCTCAAGTAATCAGGCGGGCCCTCTTTTGATGCTTTCTTCTGCTGCTCCATTAGGAGGGAGCTGGATGAGAAGTCGAACAATGGGACATGAATGCACACCCACATAAAATTCTGGTGTCACAGGCAGTAGCTTTACCCACTATGCCCCAGTGCTGGCCCCAACATACTCACTTTATAAGTTAAAGACTAAGACCTCGGCCACCACCCTTTTCCAAGGGGAGAAAATTGTAAGATTATCTGGGAGGAAAATTCACAAATTAGCTGATGTTGCTTTTTCCATTCCTCATTTTCAAGATCAGATAATCACAAACAAAACCAGAAGTATAATCCATTTGGCCATGACTAACCCAATTTGTAAAATACAATGGACAGAGACAGAAGAGTGGAAAAGTTGTGGTGAATCATCTAAACTCCTTTGTAGTAAGTAAGAATACTGGCAAATTGTTGCAAAGCAGAATATGAGAATCTCTGTCAAACACGTTGGCCTTTGTTGCAATAGAGAAGACTTACTTAACCTTAAATAAATTGGACCTATTTGCTAATCTGATGTTTCTGTGGTAATAATGAAAAAGAGATTTATAAATAAAGAGCCAAGGATTCTGATATATTTGATATATTAGATAAACTGTAAACCATGCAAAATCTTTTTTTAAGATTTATTTATTTATTTGAAAGTCAGAGTTACACAGAGTGAGGAGAGACAGAGAGAGAGAGAGATTGAGAGAGAGAGAGAGAGAGAGAGGTCTTCCATCTGCTGGTTCACTCCCCAGTTGGCCGCAACAGCCAGAGCTGTGCTGATTCGAAACCAGGAGCCAGAAGCTTCTTCCGTGTCTCCCACGTGGGTGCAGGGGCTGAAGGATTTGGGCCATCTTCTACTGCTTTCCCAGGCAATAGCAGAGAGCTGAATGGGAAGTGGAGCAGCTGGGACTAGAACTGGCATCCATATGGGATACCAGCGCTTCAGGCCAGGGCTTTAACCCGCAGCAACATAGTGCTGGCCCACCATGTAAAATCTTAAGGCATAATTCCATCCATGCCCTAGTCCTAGTCTAGACTCATATCACTCACAAAGGTCTGGACTACCCTCAAACAAGACATGTATCTAGTGGGGAGTGAGAAGATGGTAAGAAAAGCCACTCTCAGCATCTAATGACAAAATTTAGTTGCAAAGAAGGACAATGCTTCTATGCCAGTGATATCTATTAAAGCCCACTCTTCTAATGTAGGTATCTAAAAGGCATTGCCTTTGGACTATGCCTGGTTGGCTGTTAATTTTGTTTATTTGTTTTATTTTAAGATTTACCAATTTATTCAAAATGGTAAAGGATTCCAGTTCATAAATGACCAACTGTCTGTTTCAGCGGATGAAGTAAGGATGAATGTGGCAGGCAATCATTATCTCCTAACATCCCTACGCTAGGTCTGATTTGATGATTTCCAGCCAGAGGTATGTATTTGAACCATCTGAAAAGCTTTAAAAATTGCATATACTCTGATTATTCCAATTCTAAGACACTAAGTTCCTTAGTGAGTGACAGGGACATGTTTCATTAAGAGAGCTAAGAATGATTTGTTTTAAGGCCAGCATTGTGGCATAGTGGGTAATGTCATAGCCAGGGATGCCACTATTCCACATAGGTAACTGTTTGTGTCCCAACTACTACTCCATTTATTTTGTTTGTTTCTTTTCTTTTCTTTTCTTTTTTTTTTTTTTTTTTTTGACAGGCAGAGTGGACAGTGAGAGAGAGACAGAGAGAAAGGTCTTCCTTTGCCATTGGTTCACCCTCCAATGGCAGCCGCGGCCGGCACGCTGCAGCCGGCGCACTGCAGTGATCCGATGGCAGGAGCCAGGTACTTATCCTGGTCTCCCATGGGATGCAGGGCCCAAGGAGCCCAAGCACTTGGGCCATCCTCCACTGCACTCCCTGGCCACAGCAGAGAGCTGGCCTGGAAGAGGGGCAACTGGGACAGAATCCGCGCCCCGACTGGCACTAGAACCCAGTGTGCTGGTGCCGCAAGGCGGAGGATTAGCCTAGTGAGCCGCGACACCGGCCTCCAATTACTCCATTTCTGATCCAGCTCCCTAATAATGGCCTAGGAAAAGCAACAGAAGATGACCCAAGTGTTTGGGCTCCTGCCACCCACATGGGTGACCAGGATAAAGCTCCTGGCTCCTGCTTTTTTGCAGCCATCTGGGGAGTAAACCAGCAAATGGAAGAGTCTCTCTCTCTCTCTCTCTCTCTCTCTTCCTCTCTCTCTCTCTTTCATTCTCTCTCTCTCTCTCCCCTTTCCTCCTGCTCTTCCTCTCTCTCCTTCTATAACTCTGACTTAGGAATAATTAAATAAATCTAAAAAAATGATTGATTGTTCTAATCTCCATAGTTCTTCCTTTCTCAAATAATGAAATCTAAAATTCCCTCTCTGTCTCAGTCAATACTCTTCAGGATAGATTGATTTTCAATCATGTTTCTAAATTCATTATACTAGAAAAAGAACATAAACTTTCACACATACCTACTGAAATGATACCTGATACCACCACCTCCCTTACTCAATTAACACAGCCTTACCCAAACAGTTGAAAGCTTTTTGCATCTATCTTTCAAGTGTTTGATTGTGTGTCATTTTGGGTTGAGGTTCTCCCAGGGGTGCCTTTCATGTTTTATGCAACGACTCTGAAAGCAATGAAAACCCATGGTGAGAGCTTAAAACACAGGATGCAGTTTTTTATCTGCTTCCCTTCTTTTAAATACCTTCATAATTTCTAGTGTTCCACAAGATTTTGTTTTCCAGTCTGGCTGTACAATGTATGGCATTTTCTTGTATCATTTTATGCATTAGAAAAGGATCAAATTGCAACACCACTCAAATCTGTTGAGAACAATTGGGATTAAGAGATCAGGATACTCAAAAAATATTCTAGACCCATGCTATTTCACACCTTGATCAGTCTCACAATTCTCATCCACAGTCCTGATACAACATGGATAATATGGTAACAAGGCTATCACAGAGCAACTAAATAATCACCTGGCATCTTCACTGCACTCCAAAGGGAGACATCAGCAACAACTCAGAGGGAAAATAAATGACATTAACTTGGTAACTCCACAAGCTAAAATTACCTCATCCTGTATGATACATCCTCTTGATATGTGATGTTTTCTCCTTTGTAAAAGTCATGCAAGAAAGATTTTATAGCTCTTGGAGAAAATAGATGATGAGATTTCCTGCCATGAACCAGTTTGTATCAGAGGCCTATTGAAATCATGAGTGAATAGTTTATTATTGAATTAACATTGAAATGATGTCACAGAACTTACCATCCACCATCCATCTGATCAATCATGGATATTTGTAAAATACTAACTGTGCATCAGATAGGCACTATGCTGAACATGAAGACAGAAAGTGCTCTAAAACATCTGCTCCTTCACCTCAGGGAGCTCATGGTCATACAGAGGGATACAGATTTAAAGGAGAAAAAATGCAGAAAAAATACTTACCCGAACTAACTAGGAATCCTCCTACTTCACACGCCATTAATACTACACCATATAATGAGGTATAACTACTGAAAATTTTTTAATTTCAAATGTCTGTGGACACACAAATTTGAGAAGAATATAGGGAAAGTAGAATTGTTATAAAAGACCACATCCTGGATACCAAGGTGACTCAAAATCATGAGATTTAAAGAACAATTAAAAATGGGAAGGATTAGTCTAGAAAAGAGGGGAGAACATTTTAGTGATCATTAGACCTCTGTGCACATCTGCAATAAAAAAGTTTGCTCATTTCTCTTCCTTCTTTTCTAGTAGCAGAGTTTCCACTTTGCTTTTTTATTTTTTACTTTTTTGCACATCCATGTTCAAATTACAGTACATCTGATTATAGTACACAGTATGATTCCAAGTCAAAACAGCGGCCCATTGGGCACTAAGCTTCTGATTGGTGAAGGGCATTCCAATCAATGATGTTGTCTGGGGGCTGGCGCTATGGCGCAGTAGGTTAACCCTCCACCTGTGGGGTTGGCATCCCATATGGGCTCCGGTTCTAGTCCTGGCTGCTCCTCTTCCAATCCAGCTCTCTGCTATGGCCTGGTACAACAGCAGAAGATGGCCCAAGTCCTTGGGCCTCTGCATGCACATGGGAGACCTGGAGGAAGCTCCTGGCTCCTGGCTTCTGATCGGCGCAGCTCCAGCCATTGCGGCCATCTGGAGAGTGAACCAAAGGAAGTCCTTTCTCTCTGTCTCTCCCTTTCACTGTCTGTAACTCTACCTCTCAAATAAATAAATAAAATCTTTTTAAAAATGATGTTGTCAGAGGTTTCCCCAACCTTATCTGACCATAATGGGAACTACACAGCAGCAGTGAACCTCTCACTAAAACCATAAATCCCCTGGTGCCAGCGTTGTGGTATAGCTAGTAAAGCTGCCACCTGCAGTGCCAGCATCCAATCCAGCTCTCTGCTGGTGTTCCTGGGAAAGCAGCAGAAGATGGCCCAAGTTCCTGGGTCTCTAAAACACCATGAGAGTCCTGAAAGAAGCTCCTGGATTCTACCTGGCCCAGCCTTAGCCATTGCAGATATTTGTAGAGTGAACCGTAGATGGAAGATCTCTCTCTTTCAAATAAATAAATCATTTTTTAAAAATCTTCCAGGAGAAATGCTATGCAAGCAGAGTCAGTCTTGAGTCAGATCTTTATTTGGTTCTCCATCCATATATTTTTTAGTGCTTTCTCTTTTTGAGCCGACTATGTTTCAGGATGTCCAGTTTTCTGGAGTCGACAGCTTTCTTTTCTCATCAGTTTGTTTCTTTATTCATCTGTCAACTCCATTGCTTCTTTTGTTTTATCCCTATGAAATATAACTGCACCATCACCACAGACATAAAGAAGCCAGACATTCAAAGTAGAAATTTTAGGATTCTAGTCCAAATCTAGATGAATGTCAAAAACAGAAATATCACAGGGAAAAGTTCCTCTATACAAAATCAATATATTCCAGAGGAATCCCACTGATTCCAGTAAGCTTCTCTCACAGTTCATCAACACTACTGATTTCCAATACAACCCCATAGAAGGGTTTTGGGTTTATCTCTGAGGGCTTCCACCAGTGAGACAAAACAACAAACTATAATATTGACCTCATCTTCTCTACTCTATCAAGAACTTCAAGGAAATCCTCTCAATTGCTGGAAATATTAATGTCTTTTTTTAACTTTTCTTTAATGAATATAAATTTCCACAGTACAGCTTATGGATTACAATGGCTTTTTCCCCCCATAACTTCCCTCCCACCTGCAACCCTCCCGTTTCCCACTCCCTCTCCCCTTCCATTCACATCAAGATTGATTTTCAATTACCTTTATATACAGAAGATCAGTTTAGTATATATTAAGTAAAGATTTCATCAGTTTGCACCCACACGGAAACACAAAGGGTAAAATACTGTTTGAGTACTAGTTATAGCATTAATTTAGAGAAAGGTACCTCCTTCTTTGATGGCCTGTTCTTTCCACTTGTTTCTTTTTTTCTTTTTTTCTTTGTCCCATTCTGTCAGTTGCCTCTTCACTTTCCTGACTGTTTCTTTTGAAGTACAGAAACTTCTCAATTTGATGCAATCCCAAATGTTAATGTTGGCTTTGACTGCCTGTGCCTCAGGGGTCTTTTCTAAGAAGTCTTTGCCTGTGCCAAAGTCTTACAGGGTTTCTCTGATGATCTCTAATAATTTGATGGTGTTGGGTTGTAGATTCTGGTCTTTAATCCATGTTGAATGAATTTTTTTGTAAGGTGAAAGGTAGGGGTCTTGCTTCATGTTCTGCACATGGAAATCCAGTTTTCCTAGCACCATTTATTGAATAGACTGTCCTTACTCCAGGGATTGGTTTTAGATCCTTGATCAAAAATAAGTTGGCTATAGATGTTTGGGTTCATTTCTGGTGTTTCTATTCTGTTCTGTTCCACTGGTCTATCCATGTGTTTCTGTACCAGTACCATGCTATTTTGATAACAACTGCCCTGTAGTATGTCCTGAAATCTGGTATTGTGATACCTCCAGCATTGTTTTTGTTGTACAAGATTGCTTTAGCTATTCGAGGTCTCCTGCGTCTCCATATGAATTTCAGCATCATTTTTTCCAGATCTGAGAAGAATGTCTTCGGTATTTTGATTGGTATTGCATTGAATTTATAAATTGCTTTTGGGAGAATGGACATTTTGACGATATTGATTCATCCAATCCATGAGCATGGAAGAGTTTTCCATTTTTTGGTATCCTCTACTATTTCTTTCTTTAAGATTTTGTAATTTTCATCGTAGAGATCTTTAACGTCCTTGGTTAAGTTTATTCCAAGGTATTTGGTTGTCTTTGTGGCTAATGTGAATGGGATTGATCTTAGAGTTTCTTTCTCAACTGTGGCATTGCCTGTGTATACAAAGGCTGTT